GGCCTGCAGTATTTATCATTTTATCATTTCATCTCTGCTCCAGCATCGATTGAAAGTCCGCATGTACCGATCAACCAGATGCCTGCCGTGTGAATCCCGTGGGCTCTAGTTTGTGGCGAGGATGCTGTGATGGAATGGCAGCTTGTTAAAATGCTTCTTATAATGTTCAGTTACCTCGCTCGTCACGCATTACCTGCTCTTCACCTACCATATTCCTTGCAGAAAGATGGTCTATCAATGCGAAAGACGTCATTGATTCTCTCACCCCATAAGTAAATGGTTGACATAGGCATTTAGCGCACGCATTCGGCTGAACCTTGTTTCTTGTTTAATTGCTCCTGGGGCGCATTTACCGGTTTGTCGCACCTCCCTCAACCAGAAACAATTTGTCTTCTAATGCTGAACAACCTCTTAATATTTAGATTCGCGTTGTCACCTTCTAAAGGCAGGGTTTATATTCAGCGGAGCGCTGGTTCTTCGTTTCCAATTGGCAATTTCCCATCTGCATTTTTCGGCCGTACTCGGAAAAGGCCGGACCAATCTCCGGACTTCGATTCCCCCGCATGTCGGCGGCAATTCATTTTTCATGTAAGCTTTATTCACCTTTCAAAGAACAATGATTCCAAAAGTTAGGGATCACGCACGAGGGGATGGCGGTCGAAATTTGAAAATAGAAAACTGCATTAGACGGCGGCAGATAATGGCGGCACGCGGGGAGGCATTTATCGACAGGGGGACCGGCAGAGACAAAACTTACGGCAGCAGAAGAGGCCAGCACTGAAGCCTCACATGGCGGGCAATTACAGTAAAGGGTCAGATGGAATGGGAATAATCTTCATAAGTCATGCACTTTTGTCAGCTGAATTGCAAACACTTGTCTGATTTCCCATAACTTAATGTCCTGAAGGTAACCCTTACGCTGAGAAGAACCCATCGTGTTGTTTCCTAAATGAATTTCAGTAAAATGGAGCACTATCTAGTGCAGCTTGGCAAACAGACTAGCACCAATTTTGCTATGGACCAGTATCATGACCTTATTAAGGTCGGTTATTTGACATGTTAATTACCTCATTCCCAATCGATGACTGTGGTTACGGTTTTTACCAAGTTTATAACACGAGGTCATGTGATGCATTTAAGGCAGATATGACTTTCATAGGATACAATTATGTCAAGGTTTACATGTACAATAAGAATATAACTTTCTTAGAATTCCGTTCACGACATGTACAGCATCGATTTATGCCCTCGCGCTTCATGTTCCGCCATGGGTTGACACCAATCTCCGTCTAATTTCGCTGCGTGCAGCTCGTCTTCGTTTCATTGCCTTTTCTCGAAACAAAGCATATGCAGTTCTGGACGCAAATCTAGAACTAATTCAAGTCACCGATTATCATTCAGAAGTGTAGGTTTTGTATCATTTTTTTCATTTGATGTATTTCATGTGAGCAGTTCCGCAGGTGCACGCATGGGAGGCACGTAGACACCCTCTCATGCATGGGAGGCACGTGGACACGCACCCACTCGCCTCCCCCTTAAGCAATGTGGAGCGACCGGGCATCGGGGAAATCAAGAAATAAGAATGGAAGACAACCGCCGAAGCTCATATTGTTTACTACAATGCAACCGTGAATAAACATAAAATAAACCGTGACATAAGACATACGTGAGACATTCATAAGACATACAGAAGACAAAACGTACGTGACGTGACACTAGGACATGAATCGTGACAACATTATGGTGCCTCGGGCAAATTTCAAGAAAGGCACTTTGAGGGGCCCAAGTAGTCAGAAGGGTGTTCAGAAGGCTTACATGAGCACCCTTGCCTGGGGCCGCTCGAGGTTGGGTTATCTCCCTGCAAAAATGTTGAGTGCGAACCGAGGTACGTCCGTGTTCTACTAAAGCGTCGATGACATGCCCATTATTTCAAAACAAATAGCGTGTTCCAGGATATCGTAGTTAGTTGCTCATTTCGCTCTTAAGTGTCCCCCACGTCTTCGAAGCAGTCTGTGGATGAAACGTCACGGCTTCCTTGCTGATGGACATCAAACCAAATGGAAAAAGTGCAACCCATTTCTAACCCGGCATCGCAGGAGGCAAGAAATCACACATCGCTAAATATGAGCTTCAAGCCTTCCGTTGGTGTTTATATATGCAAGAGAACAGTTCGGCCCTACCAAGAACGCAATTGCTTGACGCGTTCATTCTGATCGTAGTTAACTGCAACTGTGCCTCGACATGATTGGTATGTAAACATGAGCAATCTACATCGGTATTAAGGGGGAAGGGTGCGATAACCATGAACATAGCGTGAAGTGGTCTCCTTGTTTCATTTCCGTGCTGGCTCTGCACTGCCCTAGCAGAGCTATTTAGCGAGATCATTGGCTGGAATAACCGTCTGTACATCGACACGATTATGAAGAATGTTTCCGCGCCTACACACAGGCCGCATGAGTAGATTACACCTCGCGGCGAGGCAGCAATCTGGAACTGCTCCGATGTCGCCTAGACGTGGTATCTTTCCAACCATAAGTGATCGAACCGCTGGAAATGCTAACAGGTAAGCACACAGAACGAATGTTGTCATATAGATGCCAGATGAAGGAGTTCACACGTAGCGCCTTGAACAACGCAAAGTGATCTTCAGCACATAGCGCCGTGTTTTTCCCTGCTGACGCCTCCCGCCACCTTGGTGCAAGCGATAAGCAGTAATAAAGAGCCTGTAGTTACCCTGACAAATGTATTACCCCCAGATTACGTCTGATAGCCCTTGCTACAGTGCGGGGAATCTTGGCTGCATTTGTCGCAGTGATGAAAACGAAGTGCCTAGTGCAGGGCCCTTGTTGCGTCGAACCGCGACAGGCATTTCGTTTCAGACCTCAGGCGGACGGGGTCTGCGGACCCCGGTCCGCGCCGGGACTGACACACACAGACCACTTTTGCGTCGATGTGCGCTGCGGTCGGCTTCATCAAGCAAGGTGTGTGGGGCTACCGCCGTCGATCCTGAAGCTTTGGCGGAAAGTTGTGAGCAGTATCGCTATAAGCAGCAACATTTATAGATATGCAACTGTATGTTACGCGGTGCACAACACTTCGCTGTCCCAATCTGCACTTCTGTTTGCCGAATGCCGGTTATCTGTTGACAGGACACAGTGCCAATTGCAGAAGCCATAAATAAGGGAGCCGTGTGAACCCATCGAAGAGCACACCACGCTGCACTACAGCCATCATGACCATGAAAATGGCTATGAACCGTACAGCAAAATTGCGCCTTGCGACGAAATAAGCACAGAGTTTGTTGTGTGGTGAAATTGACCACCGCTGGCCATATCAAATGATGCTGTGTGTTGTACCCGTTTCACACCTTAGCACGAAAACTCTCCTGTTCATAAAGCTACACCTGCACTGCGCACCAAAGCCCAACTGTTGTGGCGGAGAGTCTTCAGCAGCGGATCAAATCACGAAACATTGCTGGAGCTTGCCGATCGGTCTCCGAGCGAGGTTGGCTGCTCCCCAGCGGGCTGTCGCGGGCGTCTCTCTCGCCCTCGGCACGAGCATATTACGTAAACACCCGGCTAACTTCTCCCACCGTAGGCTGGCCACGGCGGCAATAAAGCAATCAGCGGCGATTGGCCGCTAACGCCGGGCCAGCGGGAGATGTGCTGACGAGCCGGCCACAGACACGGGGAGAACGGGGCTTACTTACGATCTGGTCACAGACACAGGAGGGCTGGGCTTACGAGCCGGTCACAAACACGGGGAGAACTAGGCTGACGAGCCGGCCGCAGACACGGGGAGAGCGGGGCTTACGAGCTGGTCACAAACACGGGGAGAACTAAGCTGACGGGTCGGCCAGAGACACGGGGAGAACGGGGTTTACGAGCTGGTCACAAACACGGGGAGAACTAGGCTGACGAACCGGCCAGAGACACGGGGAGAATGGGCAGACGAGTCGGCCTCAGGCACAGGGAGAACTGGGAAGACGAGCGGGCTTCAGGCACAGGGAGAACTGGGAAGACGAACTGGTCACAGACACAGGGAGAACTAGGCTGACGAGCTGGCCTGAGACGTGAGCGGAGCCAGGTAGAATGACAAGTAAGCCACAGATACGGGGGAGAATTGGCTGACAGCCTGGATCGAACCAAGAGAAGAACTTGCACGGGGCAGAGGTGACCGAATGGCCGACGTCACAGGCAAAACTAAAACTGGGCCGAACTGACAAGCTGGCTTGAGCCATGGAGAGAACTACACCGACCGGCTAGCATCAGCGACGGGAAGAGCGGCATTGGGACAAACAGCAGTTCGAGCTTATGATCAAAGCATGACAGAAGCGACCGATGACTGCGGACAGGGGAGGGGATGACTCAGATCGCACAACTTGCCTATTCCGAAATACCGTCCAATGGCCGCTAACAGCGCTACATCGTCGGTCGCGACCCGCAGCATCGCACGCCGCGTTTTAGAACCGCGCACACTGCCTCCTAAGTGCCCCGCTCGGCTCGTGCCACGCCCGGACTCCCCGCGGCTCGGCGTGGCCCAGTTCGCAGCGGTGTGGCGCCCCTCGACGTGGGCGTCTCGCGAGCGCGAGCATCGGCGAAAAAAGAAGACGTATGGCGGCCGGCGGGCCCGGGGCCGCGCCCGTCCGCGGACGCCCGGTCACATCCTGGCATCGGTGTCACGCCGACGCGAATTAATGGCTTATTTCGGACGTTGCAGGCGGGTAAAAAGCGTCCCATTGGGGCGCGAGGGGAGCCGACGGGGGCGGCTTAAACGGCGAAGGTGGGGAGAGGGCACGCGCACGTCGGCCTGACACCCCCAGCGTCAGTGTTTGGCTCCGATACGGCATAATGGCCGGCACGGCGACGACGGGGGTGAGGCCGTTTCCGAGCATGTTGCGGTATATTTTTCTTCCGGCGTGAATTATTATAGACATGCTGGGGTCAGTTTATGCTGGCCGGCGCCGGCCGGCGGCCGAGCCGGCGGGCTCCAGTACTCACTTTGCCCGATGTGAACCCTCTTCATCCAGGGGTACACTTGCCGCGTAACCTCCGCCTTCGAGTCTTTGTCATTGTTATTGTTCGCGGTGGCGCCGGCCTGGGCGGCGGCCGGGCCGCTCTGCTCGGCACTGCTGCTGCTGCTGGTGCTGGCCGTCGAGCGCGGCGACTGCTGCGACGGCGCCGGCGGGTTCGGCGTCGACGAGGTGGACAGGTCCTGTGGCGAGCCCACGCCCGGCTCGAACTTGCACGACGAGGAGGTGGCCGTGGCAGCCGGCGCCGTCGAGGCGGCCGACGCCGGCTGCGAGGCGGCCGGCTTCGCCTTGGCCGGCAGCGCTGGCGAGCTGGCTGGGTGCAGCATTCGGAAGTCACCGGCCGGCATCGGCTGCTGCTGCGGCTGCGGCTGCGGCTGCGGCTGCGGCTGCGGCGGCTGCGGCTGTGGCGGCGGCTGAGCGGCGCCGTAGCTGTAGAGCTGCGAGTGCGGCTGCTGCTGGCCGTAGCAGGCGCCGCCGCCGTAGTTCTGGCCGTAATACTCGCCGCCGCTCACCTGGCCGCCGTCCTGGCCGCGCTGCGCCGCCCAGTTGGACAGGCTGTCCACGAACTGGTACGAACTCATCGCGCCGGTCGCGTCCGCGTCGCCGAGAGTCCGAGTCACTGCGAGTCACCCCGAGCCCGAGTCGCGCACCGGGCGCCCGACGGGAGCCGACCCGCGTCTAGCGCGGCGCGCGGCACATTGCGTGCGCGCGACGCGGACCGACTTTGCCGACCGGTCGGCGCGCCGGCCGCGGCCGACGCTCGTGAGCGCGCTGTGCTGGCGCCGGCCGCGCTCACAGTCGCCCCCGAGGGCCGCTGTTTGTTGTCGTTTGCCGCGCGCCGGCTATGCGACAGTATCGGGAGGTGCGGTATGCGCAGCCCTGTCGTTTCGCGGCCGGCGGGCTCGTAAATTCGGCCGGATGGCCACGTTCACACTTGGCGGTCGAGCGTAACCCCTTCGCTGGAGCGTCTTAATGAGCCGCACAAAAAGACACTAAAAGTGTGCTTAACACGTCGTAATTGTCCAATAAATTTGTCCGGGCACACGCCGCCGACCACACGCACCGACCAAAGACTTCAAAAATTTCCGACCGCCCCCGTATTGTTTAGGAAAGCCGTAAATTTTCAACGCTGAATGCCAGGGGAAACGAGCGAATAACTGTCTCTTACCGGCCGCACTTTTGTCAAAAATCCATAAATATCCGGCGGTTGAGGTTGAGTTTCGCTGTAAATCACTTCCACCACTTGTGCACAGTCGCTTCCAGCTATTCCACCTCACGCACTTGTTCTCGCCGTGCCCGTTTTCAATATTACTGTAGTGTGACACCGGCAAGTGCCATAAGACATGTTAACCCTACGAGCTAAATTTACGATCTGTATATGAAAATGCCCGGCCAATCCCTCTCCACTGCGAGTTACGGGCGAGCTCAGGCCATTCGTTCTGGCACGCGGGGGCAGGGCTTCGGCGCTAGTTCGTCGCCCGGCCACCAGGGGCTGCGCCGACGGCGGCCGGCAGCCAGTCGGCGGCCGCCAGTGATTTACGAACAGGACATGTCTCGCGCTGTCGAAGCCGGCTAACGGGAACATTCCTATTGAGGCGCTCGTTATCTGCGCGACTCAATGCACGTCCTCTCATAACGCGCCATCCGGGGCCGGTGGCAGTGTCGCGCCGGAACGCGCCGCGGCAAACGGCCGAGCGCGACGCCTCTACCGCGCAGATAATCTAATTCAGAATAGAGATAGCCGATACATCAAATGGACCGTCGTAAATCATGCAGGTAAAAGAAAAGCTTGTACTGGCCCAAAGTTACGGTATGTCCTGACGCCGGCCAGTCGATACGATCGCGGGGCACACACGGCCGGAGCGGACTCGCCCGTCCCGGCCGGGCCGCCGCCGCCGGGCCGCGCGGCCCCGCGCCCTGCACCGGCGCCTGCCTCTAATTGGACAGACTTTTGGCCGAAACAGGTCCAGTTGCAGGAATGTCGCACAGTAGCCTGACCGATGTCAGGCGCCGATGCCGGTGCGGATAAGCGGACTGACAGCGGCCGATCGCGCCGCGGCCACAGCGGGCTAATATTTTGAAATGGGTGCTGTCAGGTGCCGCTTCAGCCGCCTCTCACGAGCCGCTGATGATTTAATCGCGCCCTCGCGGCGGTCAGTGGTGCAATGGCAGGCCTTGGATCGGCCGCGATTGCAGGAAAGACGGCACTTCGGGAGGACAGCGACGACATGACTTTGCGGGCTTCCTGAAGGGAATTTTTGCGGCGGCGAACCGACCGCTGTTAGTGACACCGAGCCCCAAGTAAGGACCCGAGCAAAGTCGCGATTTTAGCTCGGTGTTCGGCTAGATCTGCACGCTTTTGTAATCGGATGAATCGAATCCCGGACGGTTCGGTTAGTTTTTCAAGACCGACTCTTTTTCCACCCGAGCCAGAACGGCGGCTCAACAAGCAAAAGTGGTTTGGGTGCTATGATTCACTTGATAGCATTTTTATACGTTCTGGAACCGGTGCCTGCAGGTGATGCCAGTTCTCGAGTAAAGCTAGAATATCCACCCAGCCGCTCGATGAAACAGAAAGGAAGTAAGTTAGATATTCAGGTGGGAGTTATACGGCCACCTAGAAATGTGGCCGTGGAAAAGATGGACACTAGATATAAGTTCAGTCGGACAGATGTAAAGAACTTGCCGTTTCGATATGTTTATCTTGTATGCTGTGTTCGTGCATGAAAATATTCATAAAGCGTTAAGTTGTGTAGCTATCTCTCATCTACATGTTAACGTGCTCCGATTTGTAATTGCTCGCTATATATCGCCCAAACTGGAAAGTGCTGACGCAAGAATATGCGTTATTGTCGTCATGTAATATTGTGAACATGTTTGGGTAGCATTAACACCTGCCAACATGGCGACATCTTGTTATTCGTGTCTTATCATGTAGATGCGAAAAAAAGAAGCCTGGGTGTAGATAATCTTTTGTCATCTTTAACGCTTGTTTTATGTATCCACTGCCTATGTGCCCATACACGTGGTTTAAAACCGGCTTGTTTCTACCAGATGTTGACAACCCAATTTTGTTAATGTGCTGTGCATTTATCATGTTTCAGTATTGTCAGTAATAGCATTTATTTATGTATACCATGTCCGTAAAGGTTTGACAACCGTTTCTGACACGCTGCACCTGCTGCGCGGGGCTCGCCGCTTCCTTGGCGCGTGTTCATGGATCGCTCGTCCCATCCACTGAAGCATCTCAGACAAACCATCACACCCTGAGATCGGCGTGACAGATATGACGGCCATCGCAGCACACAGCTCTTCGGTCTCATCCTGTATGGTCACTCCTCAAGCAGCCCATTTTGTCGGAATCGCGCTCCTTATTCTTCGGGCCAAAAGAGCGGTGTATCAGACAGTGATGGCTCTCCCGCCCCTCCCCGCCCCTGAGTGTGCTTGCGATGGGGCGAGAGGAACTGGGGTGTTGATGACGCTCATTCACCGCCATACAGTGAGATGGGTGACGTGTATGGTTCAATGACATGGTTTAGCGTCATGGTATTTGCCCAAACGTACATGGGCTCTAGACTGTATGTCGCATTATAAAGCGTAGGTCCGATTCATTTTCCAGCCATAGGTTTATGGAGCGGGCAGATGCTGTGAGTAGTGTGCCAGATATATGCCCTCAGGGTTGCAGCAGGCCTAGATGCATGTTCGCTTCTGGTATTATTTCGCGTGCAGCTGTAACAGCCAGTGACCGAGTTGACGTCCCACGGACTTTACCACGCTGCCGACTCACGCGCTGCCACCGACCCTGCCCGGCCCCTGGCCGGCCCCTGCCCTGGCCCTACCACTTAGCTGAACCCTCGGTCACCTTCACATTGCAGAAGCGCAAGTATCGGCTGATCGGCACGTGAAGACGCGGCTGTCAGCGCGGGCCCCGAGCGGCGGCCTCCTCGCCACACGTCAGACCCGTCCAGTCGCGTGAGGTGTCAGCGACGACGCGTCAGCGGCGACGAACCGGCTACGCTGACACGCGGCCGTGACACGAGGGGACGAGCTCGTGGCAGATCCGGCCGCGGAGCCGGACATACCGCTGTAGTCGCGAGGCGACTGCGAGGCTTGTCTCACCCCGCGTCCGGCCTGAGCACGAGAGCGGGGCGCGACCGTGTGAACACCTGTGAGCGGCGTCGACTCGGGGCAACAGCCCTTAGGAGTACAGCACTACGCACAAACTTGCAACCGTCAGCATCATGTTTTTTTTTTTAGAGAACATGCGTCGCGTTGTTCATTAGCATTGATCGTTGGTATCACCGTCAGGTCCAGTTTATATTAAGTAGAAATCCCCCACGATCATGACAATCCAGTATAATTTTATCTGAATCTGTCTATTTTCTCTCTCTCTCTCC